AAACACAAGTAGATCTTTCTGGCTGAAATGCCAAGTGTGTGTGTGTTGGTGAGGGAGTTGGGGAGAGGAAGGGCAGCAGCAGGACCAAGGAGGGAGGCAGAGGGTCTGGGATGTCATGGACAGCACAGCAGACTTTGTCTTAAAGACAGTGGGAAGTTATGAGGGTACTAATCAGAAGAGTGACAAAAAGATCAGATGTTTTGAAAAGGTCTTTATGGCATCAATGTTTGTGGATTGAATGGTGAGTCCAGGGAATGCCATAAGAGATTTCTGCTGGAATCCAGGATGGAAGCAATGAAAATTTGAATAAGGTGGTATCCTTATTCTGTATCAGACAGATATTGAATTTAATGCCAGTTCTGAGTGACCTGTGGCAAGTTACTTTACCTTTCCAAGTCTCAGTCACCCCATATGTAATATGATTTAATGAGTTCTTATCTGGTAAGGTTGTGAGAATTAATTATAAATGCTTGGTACAATGCCTGGAATACAATAATCACTAAAAAATGATACCCTTATTCTTATTCTTGTTCTTATACAGCCAGCCCGATTTGGATAGTCCCTTTAAAAACAGGCACTGAAACAAGAATGTAGGCGGCAGATCTCAGGAAGCACGGTGAGGAAAGTGAGACAGAGAAGGAGTGGGCATTGCTAAGTGGGTTGCTGCTATGGGCAACTGGGGCTCCAAGTCACTTGGGGCTCTCAGTGGATGGGAATTGTTCCTGCATGCAATGGGAAAATTGGAGTGTTTATACATTAACACTTATCCCTGATTGGCTGAAGGATGACTATGCAGGTCTTAAATCTCCAGTACTTCCAGACTGCCCTGTGCAGACTACCAGCTTCTATGGTTCCAACACTGACGGGACCACAAGTCTTCAGCAAGTCTCAAGCAACAGAGACAGATGCTTGAGTTGGAAGCTGTCATTGTGAGGCCAGAAGTATCCACTGCAGTTGAGGTGAACTCAGAGGTCAGCAGTGGGGATGTGGGCAGAGAACATCATATCTAATCACCCTCTGATGGAGGATATAATTGTCCTCCATCATATCAGAGGACAATTAAGCAATATGTTGGAAACAGACCTTGATAAGTACAAGTAAGAAATATGGTGAAGTTATAACATGTATTTTTGTATTTTGGGTTTGGTCTAAAAACTGCAGTCCCATTCACTGAGCTTAAGACAATTGTCAGAGGGGTAGTTTTTGGGGTAATAGTGTCAGAAGAGGCACGTGTCGAGTGAGGTATTTGTGATATTGCCAAGTGTCATACTGGGTTGGCAAGTGAAATTTCTCTAATTCTGTATTATGCAGGCTTCACTTTGTCATGTTGAGATTCCTTAAATAAGTTTTGTAGGGGCCAATCCTGTACTCTGATTACAAGTGAATACTTTTTCCCCTGCTACAAAAGCATGTTTAATCTGGTGCTTTAAGTGATGGCTTTTAAACCTTCCTGTTGTCTCTTTCTACCTGCTGTTCACTTATTAGATGACTTTGAACCTGTGGGTGAATTCACTTGTGGGTGAATTCCCTTTTAGATGATTTCCCTCTGAAGAAAGGGAATAATAAATTCTCTCTTGAGTTATTGTATAGCTGTTGAAAACTAAACAGCATTTTCAAAGCTATTCTGAGTTGTTGCAAAGCACAGTGCCCCATTGAGCATTGAATTACTTTGCTTCAGTTGGCTTTCAAAATTTACAGCATTCCAATTATCCTATTGTTACTGAATTCAGTACTAAAGTGAATATGCTTGTTTACTAAAATGGAATTTTTAGATGATAAAAGCTTATATTTGGCAAGTGAGATAAGCCAGATATTTAGCTAATTATGCCATGAAATTTATCCTGGTTTTCTATATATTTTATATATGTATTTTTTCTCCATGTGGGTATATATTTGTATTTGGAGACATGCATCTGTTTTTGCTCTATCTTAGAATGCATTTTTCAATAGATGTTGAAACCACTTACATTTTAATTTTTTGAAGTGGTTTCTTAGATAGATATTTTATTATAGGAAGCAAAGAACACCCGAGTCAATGAGGCCAGACATAAAAATGTGAAAAGGTAAAGTCTGGCTTTAGCTTTCTCTTTCAAGGTGACCTCTTGCTTTCCCAAGGGTTTTCCCAGGTCCCTGTGCTTACAGCCAAGGTGTCCAAGGGTTGTTGGTCTCTGTCTCCAGAGGTATTGGCGGTACCATCACAATTGTCTAAGGCTGGTGAGTGTGCCTGTGTGCTTTACTTTAGACATACTTGTTTGTAAATTGTTGACTATACATGAGTGAAAGTGGAAAAAGTGAAGAGATTAAACCAGTGTCAGAACAAGGCCAGACATCTTGAGTCTGTTTCTTTTTCCCTAGGGGGCAGGGCTACACTAACAGTTATAGTACAGACTGGCTCCGAAGGAACGTAAGGAAAGGGGAAGATAGAATGTAGTGGGTTTTACTATAGGCCAGGCATTGTCCTAGGTATGCTGCATATATATTATATCATTTAATTTAATAAAACATGTGTTTTCTAAAAATGTGTTTGAGAATAAACATTTTTGGAGGAAAGCAGGAAGCCTTTTTTATACAGTCCCCGGTTCTCTGAGGGTTCCTGCTGCTGACCCCCAGAAGAGTCCCACCCCCTTTTATTTTTAAAAAATAATTTTAAGGACTGAATCATGTTTGATATTTTTTTAATTCCGAGCAAAAATAAGGTCTTTAATAGTCATATGTGTAAGGGAAAATACTGACAAAGAAGTTGTAGAGGTTTTGTAAGGCAAATTTTTGGAATAATGAAATAGTTTGCACAGTATGAAATAAAATAATGACAGTGACATTATTTTACTTTTGAAGGACAAAAGCAAGCAAACACCTTCCTTCAAAGACTGGGTGTTTTTTGACTGTAGTGTGGAATTATTTCTTCTTCTTTTTTTATAAATATGACCTTTTAAAATTTAATTGTTGTTCAAGTAGTTTTCTGTCTTTTACTTCATCTGGATTATTTATTCTTCTGCTCCGCATTCTTGGGATTGCTCAAGAATAAAGCTTTAGCTATTAGAATAGGAGGTCTACTCTCCTGGCACCTGGTTATCATGCTGTTGGAACTGTCATAATCTGGCCACATCCAATGTTTTCTTTCAGAATGTGAGTTCTGGGCAGTATCAGCTTGTCAGGCACAGGTTCAGCTCAGTTGCCTGTAGAAACCACAGAACTTTGCACAGGCCGTGGGTGGAGAAGCACTTGTGTGTGCCCACCCTGCTGTTCAGCTTGGAGACACCACTGGTTTCAGTTATGGCTTCAACAGGCAGCTTTGAGCACTTCTTTATTCATTACAGTGCCTCACACTCTATAATTGGTAATAAAGGAACATAGGCACTTCATAAGTGTAAAGGGCTAAACAATAATCAGGCAGTAAAGGCAATGCATTGGGACTTTTCCACCTAAACACTTTGTTTCTTTCAAGTAAACCCCCCCCAAGCAAAGAACTTTTGTTGCTTCATTTTTTTTTACTTTTTTATTGTTAACACTATTATGATGTTCTCTTTTCCCCCTCATTTTATTTTCTTGCCTTCAATAATACGTTTGATTTTCATCCTGGCCACTTACTAGTTGTGTGAATTGGGGCATTTTACCTAACCTCACTGTGCCCCATTTTTTAAAAATCTGTGAAATGGAGATAATGATAGCTCTCATCTCAAGGAGATAGATTGAGGACTAAATGAGATAATTCATGCAGAGTGCTTTTGTAAGGAGCTTCACTCACGTAAAAGCTTGTTCAGTAAATGTTAGCACTTATTATCATTTTAATTTTAAATGAAATGAATGCATAGAGTATAAGGCATAGGTCTTAAAAACTTTCCATTATGTCCATTTTCAAACACAAACATACAAATAGATTGGTATAATTACCCTCTCCCAGCACACATACCTATACTAGCACTGACAGTAATAAATATTCACCAATCTTATTTTATATAACAAATTTTGAAAGCAAATTCCAAGCACCATATCATTTCACTTATAAATTTGAGGGTCTTTTTTGATATTAACATTCCTAATATGCTAAGAACTCCTTGTGACTATGTCCTCTTAATCCTGAACCCTAGCTCCTAGGAATTACTATGGTTAGTAAAATCTCAACCAATGTTTGTTTAATTAGTGAAGAACAGCCCTAACAGGTTTCCTTGACTTTGTGGTGTATGCTACATAAATATCTGTTGAGTGAATAAGCAAGGGCAGGAATTCATAGAGTTTCTAATGTTTATGGAGATGCACATGTTTTTCAAAATCAACACATATTTTTAATACTTTGATGAGGCTTTCTGATACTTGAATCCCACAAATTCAGTATTTCTGTGAACATTAATGGTCAAATAACTAGCCCTTCTAAGGTTTAATTCTGATATTCAAACTACTTGTGAATGTCTGACTGTAGTAGGCAACTTCATGAAAAGAAATGAGCAGATTCTTCAAACACAAGACCAATCCTTTATTACTGTGCTTGTAAGTGGCATGGTTCATAGAAAACCAAATGCAATTAAATAACATTGAACTTCAAATCTACCACAGACTCAAAATATACAAGTTATACTTGGCAAGGCAAAACTTCTCAAACACTAGGTTGTTTTAGGTAAAAGATAAATTTACACTAAGTAATTCCAACATGTTTTGTTTTTTGTCTTACAGACATTTCCTTTGGCAATAACTTCCACTTTAGCTTTTATTTTATAAAAATATAACAAAATTTCATTATATACAAACATTACATTACACAATGTACAGGTTAAAAACACTAAGAAAATGGCAAGCTGCAAGTGAAATTAAAGTCGATAGCATGATAAGAAAAATTAAATACAGCACACATTTCATAAAAATTACATTAACTACATTTTTGTTCGCAAATACCAAACAGTACCAATGTGATTGGAAATAGCTTCCAACGACTTCATTTTAAGGCACATCTTGCATATTTACATATACAACACTGAAACCCGTCAGTAACTTAGGGGCTTCTTAGAGTGACCTGCGTATGTGTGTAGACATGCAGCGGGGGGTTACACATTTTCATTGGCTTCCTTCTTTGGGGAGAGGTACCTGCCAGGAGGGGACTGATAGAGGGGTACCCCGATCTCCTGCAAGTCTGGGAGCCTCCCTGGACGAGGAGGGGAGAGCAGAGTGACTGTCCTGTCATAGTCTCTGTGCAGCACTTTCTCATAGACGCTCTGCAGCCCCACCGTCTTTGGCAGCTGGGCCTGGTAGTAATTGTCTCTGCGCAGAGGATCTCGCGGCAGCGATGTGCTCTTACAGAAGGTTGACATCTGGGCTGGTGGGTGAGTTGAGGGATGTGTGTTGGGTGCTCCACATGACGGGCTCCAGCAGCGGTCAGAGTGGCCCAGAATCTTACACTCAGCCGTGCACGCCCACAGTCCTAACATAAAAGAGAAAAAAAGACAGCACAATTATTACTGAGATTGGTACGCCTCCATTTTCAGAACGTCAGAAAGGGTCATGGTGGCTGAAAAGGAAAACCTGTAGGAAGATGAACGCCAGTGACTCAAAATTTGAAAGGAATATTGTTTCCTGTAAAGCCACCTAACTCCAAGTTGGCATAGCTTCTTTTGCTGGAAAGAAAAAAAAAGAAAGGAAAGAAAGGAAGGAAAGGAAGGAAGGAAGGAAGGAAGGAAGGAAGGAAGGAAGGAAGGAAGGAAGGAAGGAAGGAAGGAATAAACAGAAAAAGCATTGTTTTCTAGCCTTGCCCCTGCCTACCAGTATGCAGCTGTGCTTAATTCAAGTGGTGGAGCTGCTCCAACCTCTTGTTTTAAAATTCACTGGGTGAGACCTGCTGGATTCATAACTCCAGTACTGAAAAAAGTGGGGAAGAGGAAGTGGGATTGGGAATGGAGATTGAGAAGAGGGGTAAAGTGGCCAAAAGGGAGGGAGAGGAGGAACGTTGAACTTGGCAGGAAAGAAGAGTCCTCACCACTCTGCATGTGGTTGATGAGATCCTTTTTCAGAGCATCCCCGCTGATGTCGGAGTCGCTGTCGTTGAAATCACTGTCCCCTTTGCCACTATCTTTGCCGCTGAACTTCTCCGCTTCTCGGCCCGAGATGGTGTTGAAAGAGTGTCCTTTCCAGACCGCCACAGGGGGCGCCGGCTCCTTTCCGAAGCCAGGAGAGGCACCATAGGGCTGCAGCAGGGAATGGGGGGAAGCGCAGGACCGGGGGACGGGGGGGGGGGCGGCGAGGGGGGGGTGAGCGGGTGGGGGTGAGGGTTGGACAAGAAACAAAACAAAACGAAACAAAACAAAAAGAAAACAAGTGCGAGAAGTTAGGTTTCTATTGCTCACGCCCACCCAGACCCTTCCAGTCTCTTCCCCCAGTCTGTCCGCGGAGCAGGATAAGGGGCACCCAGCGGAAGGAAGGCCTCACCTCGGCGTGAGCGCCGCGGAGCCGCTGCTGCCCCTCGAAGTGACAGGAGCTTTCCCCTGTGGCGCTGCCGCCCTCGGAGCCCGGCACTTCGGCCGCCGCGACCGCGGGCGGGGGCGCGTCGGCCGCGGGGCTGCCAAAAGGCGCTTTGCCGCTGCCAGGAAAGGTGAGCACGTCGAACATGTTGGGCCTGGGCCCGGCTCCCCGGGCGGCCTCCTCCGGGGAACCAGGAGCCGAGGCACCGCCGCCCGCCGCCCCGGGCCGCTCTTCCCGGCGGGGCCCCCCTTTGCGCACCTCCTTCTTGCGGCGATTGCAGGTGGTGGCGATGGCGATGATGGCGGCCAGCAGCAGTGTGCAGCTCCCAGCCAGCACGATTATGACGATCAGCGGCGTATCCCATTGCAGCGCCGGCCCTGACTCCGCGAGCCTCGAGCCCGGAGGACCGGAGCGCTCCGGACTCCCGGCACTGGCGGGCGCCACCTGCCCAAGCCCGTCTCCTGCTGTCACCACGAAACTGACTGTGGCAGTGGTGGAAAGCGGGGGACTGCCGCCGTCGGATACGACTAGCAGCGCCCGAAACACTCGGCCCGGCGGCTCGTGGGAGAGATCGTCAGCGAGCACGATCTCCCCCGTGCGGCGGTCGATGGCGAAGGATTCTCGCGGCTCCTGCTGTACGAGGTCGAATGCCAGCTCCCCGTTAGCACCTTCATCTGCGTCCCGGGCCTGCACGTGAGCCACGGCTGTGTCCCTTGCAGTGCGTTCGGGAACTGCCACTTCCAGGGAGCCGTTGGCTGGCGCCGGGTGCACCAGGACCGGCGCATGGTCGTTCTGGTCCAGTACCCGCACTTGCACCAGTGCGCTGCTGGAGAGCTGAGGGGAGCCACCATCGCTCGCGTGGATGCGCACGTCGAGCTGGCGCAGGGTCTCATAGTCGAAGCTGCGCAGAGCATAGATGGCTCCGGTAGCCGGGTCCACTGAGACATAGGTGGACACAGCACCCCCAGCGCGGCCCACCTCGGCCTCCAGCAGACGGTAGGTGACCTGACCGTTACGGCCCAGGTCCGGGTCCCTGGCGGCCACTGTGGCCAAGTAGGCGCCAGGCGGGTTGTTTTCGCGCACCGACACCTCGTAGACCCTCTGCGTGAACAGAGGCGCGTTGTCGTTCTCGTCACCCACGCGCACCGTGTAGGGCCTCACGGTACGTAGTGGGGGCGAGCCGCGGTCCTCGGCTACCAGAGTGAGGTTGTACTCGGCGATGCGCTCGCGGTCCAAGGATGCCGCCGTCACCACCAGGTAGCTGCCCGCGTAGGCAGGCTGCAGCCGGAAGTGCTCGTGCCCGTAGAGGGCGCAGCGCACCTGCCCATTGGGGCCTGAGTCCCTGTCCGAGGTGCTGACCAGCGCCACCAGGCTCTCGCGCGCCGCCCCCTCTGGCACCAGGGAGATGGCTCCCGCCTCTGGCGTCTCGGACCCGGTGGAGGAGGTCGTGTCCGCCCCTCCGAAAGCTGCGGCGGCGGCGGCGAAGGGCGAGGCGGCAGGCGCGCCTGGAGCCGCCAGTGGGGTGATGGCGATGTCCGGTGCGTTGTCATTGACGTCTCGGATGCGCACGATGACCTTGCAGGTGGCGGCGCGAGGCCCCGGGCCACGGTCCTGCGCCCGCACGTCCAGCTCGTATGTGTCCTGGCGCTCGTAGTCCACGGGTCCAGCGAGGGTGAGTCGTCCCGAGCGGGGGTCGAGGCGGAAGAGCCGGCGTGCCTCTGGTGGGGTGCGGGCGCCAAAGGAGAACACCACGTCGCCGTTGGGACCCTCGTCGGGGTCCGCCGCGTCCAGGTCGAGTAGCAGCGAGCCCACGGGTGCGTCCTCTGCCAGCTCCACCTCTGCCACGGCGCCCTGCGGGAAGGCCGGGCTGTGGTCGTTGGCGTCCAGCACGCGCACGCTGAGGGCGGCCGTAGAGGAGCGCGGCGGGCGGCCTCCGTCCTGGGCCACCAGCTCCAGGCTGTACGTGGCCTGGCTCTCGCGGTCCAGCTCCTGCAGTAGCACCAGGTCGGCACACTGGGCACCGTCCGCGCGTGTCTGCAGTTCAACGCGAAAGGGGCTGTGAGGCTCTGCCAGGCGAACGCTCTGCAGCCCGTTGGCGCCCACGTCCTCGTCTACCGGCACCTCCAGGGGGATTCGAGTGCCCACGGCCGCGCCCTCGGACACCTCTACAGGGATCTGGGCCCGGGGGAAGCGCGGCGCGTGGTCGTTGACGTCCCTCACCTCCACCTCCACGTGCACAAGCCGGAACTGCTCCTGTGAGAAGCTGACCACGTCGAAGGCCAGCACGCACTGTGGGGCCGGGCCGCAGAGCCGCTCGCGGTCCAGGCCCGCGTCCCCGACGGTCAGCTGCCCGTCGCCCTCTCGCACCCGTAGCAGGGAGCTGTTGAATTGCTTCATCAGGCGGAAGCTTGTGTCTCCAGACACTTTCATATGCAGGTCCTCAGCCAGGGTCCCGATGACCGTGCCGGGGGCGTCCTCCTCGAAGGTGCTGTATCGCACTGTCTTGCTCTGAGCCACTGAGAGCACCCAGCAGAGGCTGAAGAGCTGCAAGGGTAAAAGGCACGGACTATCCCCGCGCCTTACTGGACTCATGCTGCCAGCCCCAAGTGCTATTCCAAAAGGTTGAAGAAAAGATTCCTTTCTGGTTTGCAGGTCCGGACTCGAGTCCCAGGAGCCTCGGGAGCACGCTCTTCGCGAGCTCCGTGCGGGAGAAGTCTGGCTGGCTGCAGCTCCTCCGCTCCTGCGGGCTTTGAGGACGCGGGCGGACCCGCCCTCACTCGGCACCTTTTCCTCCCTCTTCCCGGCTGGTGCTGCGCGGTCGCGCGCCGCCTCCGCTTTTTGAGCAGCCGATATGCAAATAACCCGAGCCAAGCAGCCAATGGCGATCTTCTCCTCCCGCCACTGCCACGCCCGCCTCTGACAATCCCTTTAATGTGGAAAGGCTTCGTGTGGAAAACGAAAGGAAAATTAGGGAATCTTTCCTTTGTTTCACTCCGTTTGCTTTTCCTTTTCTGCGTGTAGAGGAGTTGGCGCAGGTTTCATTTATTGTGGCTCTCGGTACCAGCTGCTTGATCTAAGAGTAAACACGCTGGGATTTCGCCAGGGAGGCTCGGGACCCCCCACCCAGTCCCTGCGTTGTGCACCTCGGAGGCCTCCCAGCGCTCGCAGCCCCCTCCAAAGACTTCCTCTGTGAGGTTATGCTCGCCTTCCTCCCCAGGTTCCCACGGCGCCCTGAATAGCCTCTCGATTCCAAAAGAAGGGAAATCTGATTTTATTCAAATTTGTGTATGCAATTGTGTTTTTCTCGCGTGAGCCCCGGTGATCAGAGTTGCCCTTTCCCTTTCAGAAAAGAGCCTGGCGATGTGTTAGTATGCATGTCACTGTCCAAATGGCTTTCTTAAGCCTTGGGCGCTGACAGGGAAGGAAAAAAGTTCCAAATAGGATTTAGCATAAGCTTGAGGAGATTTGGAAAGGTTTCAAAGATCAGACTGTATCAAAGGCTTATGAAGCCCTCGTTAGCAGTGGAAATAGAATGGTGTGGCAGGCGATCCCACTGGAGGCCCCAATGTCTGTATTATTTCACTGTGACAAGCTAAGGGAAGAGAACGTTAAACAGTTTCCACAGTGGAGTTGGACTAACTTGAATATAATGAGCAAACGCCACATGTATCCATTATGTTCCTCTATTCATTCCCAATCACTGCCATAACTCTCTGGCTAAACGGTGATGGACGCTGAATTCCACACAATACCCGACTCGTATTAAAGTGCATTTAGAGAACTTTCCCTCCTGATGCCTTGTTCCGCCTATTTAGAGGATTTTCTTTCTGTTTTAATAGGGCCGCTCTGGGAAGCAACACTCATCCTTCTCCAGAAGAACAAAATCACAGTATGACCTTGAAACCTGGCACGAACCTGGGGGAACTTAACCATCTGCCTAAGAAAGTGTTGAGCTTCAGCATTGCCAAGCTCTGGGCTGGGTGTGTTCCGGGTCTGGTCAGCCATGGTGCTGACCCCACAGGGATCCCCCTCCAGTATCTCTGAAGATTAGGGAGATGGGGCTTTGAACAGGACCAAGAGGAATTCTTACTGATTCTTGTTGAAGAGCTTTATTGGGCAAGCTATGAAAATGTACTCGAAAGAGGAAAGGTAACAACAAAAGTCACATACTAGAACATTAAAAAAAAAGACGTTTGATTTGGTAATCAAACTACATTCAGTAAGCATTCTTCTATCTTAATTTCAGTCCTGCTCTCAGCAACCTATCTCTCAAACCCGAGGGAATGTGTCCTGTCCCCACTCTCCCCCGGCCAAAGACACAGTATTCTTCCTAGAATAAGGAGACAGAGCAGAGAGCTGGGTGGGTCGTGGGGGTGGCAGAGAACGAAGGAGGCGCTTGCGTGGGAGCAGACAAATGTAGTCCCCGCCATGAATAAATAAAAGCTTTTAGGAGATTGGGGGAGGCGGTGGATAATTGGAAGCTTCCTCTGAGCGGTCACGCCTCTCGGTTCCCTTCCCCACCTTCTCCGCCTCGCAGCCGTAGGAATACTAAACGAGGAGTCCAGGCAACTGCAGCCGCGCAGGGCCACTGAAAGGGCGATTTCTTCTAGAGGATCCCGATTTTCAGCATCTCTTCCACTTTTCCCCCCTCTCCTAATGCCATTCAATGGCAAGCTCCGTCTCTGCTCGCACCCAAGAGATATTTCTCGGAGGGTTCTGAGCAGCCCAAAGAACTTTCTGTCTTCTTTTTGGACCCCACAACTTTTCCACCTGGCCTGGGGCCTGCTGGTGACCCTTGGCGCCCCCAGGGTCCGGCCTTTCCTCCTGACCCGCATTTTCGTGTCTTTCCGGAGCGGAAGGGATTCAGAACTCGGCAGTCGGGCAGCGGCTTCCCCAGTGCAGCCCCGGGGGTCAGGCCTGCGCTGCACGCTGCTGCTGAGCCGAGAACACCGAGAGGAGGGGAAGGAGGGAGAGGGCAGTGGGACCGGAGTCACCGAGAAAGGGTTTCTACATGCTGTTCCCATGACTAGACACTTGCCAAGAGCCTGACCACAGTGGCTGCGAGCGGCACCCCACACCTGAGCCCCTTGCGCCTCCACGCCTCTCAGTCCCGGGCTGGAGCGCAGGGAGCTCAGCGGCTCGCTGCTTATTATTATTTTTTTTCCCTTGGCGGGAGAATCGGAACTACCTAACATTTTTACTCAAAACACTTCCATGTCATCTTTCACATTCTCAAGACAAATGAACTAGGTATGTGTTGAGGGAGGGGTGTGGGAAGGCCAGCAGCGGGTCCAAAGCCTTTAACCCTCCGCCAACGCCTCGGCGACTCGGAAGTGGCCACGGCGGCGGTGGCGCCCGCCACGCGGGGCGCGGGGCGCGGGGCGCGGGGCGGGGGTCTGGGGCCCGGGGCGGGGGTCTGGGGCGGGAGCGCGGAGCGGGGCTGAAACCTTTCCCGGCCGGCGCAGAGGTGCGAAGGCCCGAGAGCCGAGCGAGCGCCGGCCCCCGCTGCCTGCAGCCTCCAGATTCCGAAAACACGACTTGAAACGGCGCAGCGGCGCCGGCAGCCACTGCCTGGGGAGGCTCGGAGTCCCGGGAGGTGAGGGCGAAGGGGAGGGGGCTTCGGAGGGCAGCCCGCCCTCCCCCAGGCGGTCCGGCCCCACAAAAGCCGCGCAGATCGACTTGTTATCATACCAAAGGCCTCCACTGGCTCAAAGGGGCCCCTTTCTCTTGGTGTCGGCAACTTCGCCGGCTACTGTCTCGAAATCCTGAGAACAAACACAGCGCCACAATGGCCGGCGTTTTCTCGGAATGCAAATGTTCCGGGCTCCGCAAAGCTGGGTTTCTGTTACCGAGCCTAATGCCCGCATTGTGAAACTCGCGTGCAGACCCCGAGGTTGACACGGGCGTCACGTGACGGATTAGGGCTCCCGGAGAGTTTTCAAGGCGGTGACAATGCGGGTGAGGGTGGGGGGCTCGGCCTGATCTGGTGTCTCCCACAGTTTAGCGGGCAAGAAAATCAGGGTACATTCTCACACGTAATAGGATTATCTTTTCCATTTCAAGTTCTATACAGCATGTAATTTATTTTTAATTAGGATTATATCTGCCAGGAAAAGGAACTAGACTTCACTGGAAAGTGTAATTCTTAAGGACGAATGGGAGAGAGGGTTTTTTTTTTTTTTAACCTTTTAACTTAAAAAGGGAAAAGTTCTGGCCCCATCGGTGTTTCTCCCACAGGTTCACTCCATCGTGTAAACAGCCCAGAGAAGCTGGCAGCAAGTGCTCCACCAAGTAGAGAACAGAAGCATCTTTTCTGGGCCACCCAATTCATTCTTGTAGAATGACAGTAGACAGTAGAAATCTCTTAGAATTCCTAAATCGTGGGGTTTTACTCTCTAGAAATGTAACCAAGCTCTTTCTACATTCCAAAACACTTTATATATTCTTTAAAAATGCATTCCGCTGTTATTTGGCTGTCAATATTGGCATAATGACTTTTAAACTTTAGCATCAAGCCACAGAGCAACCATCTTGCTCTAACTCAAACTCAGCAGCTAGACAATGAAACAATTTGGGGTGAAGGTAACTTATGTTGAATCATTAATTTTGGATCGGTGCTAGTACTAGATCTGGATTGGCCCCAGGTCTTGGGCCACTCATCCTTTTGTCTGTTCTATGTGTCAGAATGCCCTGGCATATCTACTTTCCCTGATAAGAAACACAGCTATTGACCGCACACTCTGGGATTATCCTGCTTGAGTTCAAATGTGAACATTGCCACGGATTTGCTGTGTGACACTGGGCGAGTTGCCTGTCCTCTACCTCCCTGAGTTCTCTCATTTGTGAAATGGGAACAATAACAGTGCTTGTAAGTTTGTCTTGAGCAACTATGTCAGATGCAGTTGTATCAAGTGTTTAGGAAGCCACGAACACATTAGTTATTTTCTTTTGAAGCACAAGGAAGAAACATCAGAGGCCATACAATCAAAACATTTTATTTTATAGGTGAGGAAGGGGTTTGTTCAGAAAGAAGGAAAAAACACATTTCTCTACTGCTTCTTTGCTGTAGTTACAGCTGCCCCTCTGATTTCTTTTTAATGTTTTCCCACCTTTGGGAAATACTAATAGATACAGTGGTAGGTGTGGAGATCCCAAAGGTAGGAGGAGAAAATGGTCATGTGAGGGTGCAGTAAATTTCATGCCCTCATGTCATATAAAAATTTTTTGCTATCTTACTCTCTGGTTAAGATCAGATGGTGACAAAAAGGAGTTTTCAGTGGACTTTTTTAAAATTGCTTATTTCCACAAAAGCTATGTATCATAATTGAAGACACAGATTCAAATATTTAGTGGACAGCAACCCTTCATGTAGGGAGAAACTCTTACTCTCAGGAAGAGCCTAAGGGGGGCATGATTTCTATCCACAATGTGGTATTGTAACAGGGGGGTGTGGCCAGATTGCTGGGCAGTGGGGAACTCCCACCCAGCCTGAGAGGCTGCACTGTGCAGAGAAGGGAGGAGTCAGAGGAACCCCCAAGGTGGCAGGTTGAAATCACAACGGAAACTGCATGAAGGGCAAGTAACTAACGTGACATATGACACAGCTTGCACAGAGTTTGTGCAGGCT